GATTGTTTTCCCTTCCTGGGTTCTGGTTCCTTTGTGATAGGATCATGAAATTAATTTACAAGCTGAAATAAAAGGTGAAAATAATTGTAACGTTAGGCCTTGAAATTTTTTGTTGTAGGTAATAGTACATTTAGGGGTATATCCCACAAGCTTTATCGCTGAAGGGTTTTCCGTAGTCGCATGCATCGTTGCGTGCAGATTTAAAACACGCTGTCACTGATGAACTTACGGGCGTTAGCTTCTAGTTTAACTTTATAATCACCACCTTGAAACTGAGAAAAAATGCTGAAAACAATTGCAATGAAATACTTGGTCCATTTTACTGTAGCGGTCTAGATTCCGTGTTTACGCCGGGCGAGTTTCGCACAAGCTTCAAGATATGTGTTAACGGCCGTGGATGTGTTGAGTGATAGTTTCAATATTTCAATTTCTCAGAATTAATTTAGCTCAAATCATTGTTTATTAAAGATAACTATGGTAATAAATAATTTTTATCAATTCAAGATGGCGGACGGAGATGATGTCTTTCAGCTTGGCACAGTTGGCACGTTCTTTTGCATTTGGACTTGACATATGTGCTTTGTTGACATCGACGTCTCCAAGACCGATAACGACATTTTCGCGTACTGTCCTGGCAGCTCGCTGAAACAAGGAGCAAAACTCGGTTATGATTGAAATGCATGAAGTTTTAATGACTGAATACGTGTATATCTTGTATAGTTATACACCGTATGCAAAAAAAAAAGATCAATAAGATAAAAAATGCGGTAATTTTTAATCAGAAAGGCTAGCTATTTGTCGGAGACGGGGTACACTCAGCCCTCCAAATCGGCACTTCGTTCGTCTTTCAATTGACAAGTTCTTTCGCATGCAGAAAACGCAAACCTCCCCTAAAACTTGTGAAAGTACGAAAATCGTGTATGGATAAAGAGCCTGATGCGTTTACACAGCGAAAAAATTCAACTCTTGAGTGCTTTAATCACTTCATCTCTCACTCTTGCTCTTTCAATCCAACTGGTTTGGAAAATTATGATGTAATAGCTGGCAGTTTTATAGAGAAATCGTTGTTTGAAGGAAATCAGAATTTTTTATCAATTTGAAGGTGAATGACTAGAATAGTGCAGTCTCGACATGATAAGAACGAATTCGAATGATGACAAGAAAAATGGTTCGTGTTTTCCTCAGGAAAGTGCTAGCTATTTGAAAATTTTTCTTTTGTGTTGGTTTTACCTTTCTCTCCCCGTCCTTTTACTTTCGCCCTCCGTTTACACTCTGCTTTGTACATAAGGTCCGCCTGCCGAGCATCAATCGGACTTAAACGTCGTCTCTGACCAATGGTTACCTGAAAAAGGGATCGGTAGAGTTCAATTCTACTTTTGCCTTAGCCTGTCAGAATATTTAAGATGACATGTCAATCGGTATTAATCTATCACAAATGGCACAATCTGATTTGCTGTCAACAAGTTAGGGTTAATGTTCAGTTAGGGGAGGGGTGGGTCCGCAATTTCTCAGATATTCACAGTTCTCGCTGTCTATTTCGTGAAATAGAGTGAGTATGGCGTTAAGCCCAGAATAAGCAACAGATACGTATGTAATCAAGCAGGTTGATGCAATTCTTTGCATGAACAATCATGCAGTGATAAAGATATTTCGACAAAGGAATCTAGACGACAATAGCAAAACATACCCCGTGTTTTTTAACAATTATTGTTGGCTTTCCATTCTTGCTGAAAGCTTTACTTCTGTAATGCATCACACTTCCATAATCATATGGCGTGAGAAGTGAATCAATTGTCGATCGCCGGTACTTGTGAAAATTTTTCTTTGCTCCTGAAAAGGGAAATCATCGATTAAAACTAAAAAACGCAAAAATAAATTGAACAAGTAAAACAAAATTGGTGCAACTATCACTTGGAAACTATGGAAAATCAATGCTTACCTGAACGAATGTTTTCGTACTTTATTTTGATGTAAGAGTCTCGATCAGGTCGAGACTGTTCATGATAAAATCCAATCGCATGCCCTGAGAGAAGTAAAACTTTATAAATCAAAAATCATATCACAGGTACTGCCAGCTTAAGAATGCCAGCTTGGAAAGAATTGTAGACTGTCGCTCTGAAACTCTTCATCGTAACGGCTTTGCATTCAGGAGATACAATGAAACCACCCCTACAAGAACCTAGATTTTTCTCAACCAGCTTGAACAGGATCTCAGTGTTTTGGTAAGTTACTGAAAGTTTGGGTCAATTAAAAAGGAACCACAAGCCTGGATTTTGTCCCTTAAATGCATCCTCATTATTCAAAATCCTAATTTTAAGAATTAAATGCTTTACAACTCTGATCATGCAAAATAATCATTCTACGGAAAATAAACAAAGTATGTGCAAAAGTAACTGAGAAAGCTAAAATAGAATAATAGATTTATATTTAAGGTAGAATACTAAAATGCTAACAATTACGGATAAAATTTAACTACACTTCTATAATTAAACTCTTGGAGATTTCCACCTTTTTGTGGTCTTTGGCGGAGTATGAAAATGTATTTACCTATTTCATGAACAACTGTTCCTTTGAACCAACACCTTGGTCCGAGAAAGATTTCCTGACGACGACCGACTATGATGCACACCTGGTATATAGAAATGGCGTATTCTTTCAAATGGCGTGTTTTTTTTCAGATAAACAGTACATGCATTTGTGTGTTCATACACAATCTTTCTTGAATAACAGAGAGATTTTCACTTAAGATTTTGAATACATTTCATAATATAAATTTGATGACAAAATATATTTCAACGTAGGTTAGAAAGCTCTGAAACAGTAAGTAACAGTGACAATGTTATGAAAATGGAAGTGATCTTCGCAGAAATGAACACTATTGAAACAGTAGTGAAATAAGGCCCGAAAAAATTCATGCCTGTACGGGATTTGAACCAATGACGCTCTACGAACTGAGCTAACAAGGCAACTGGGAGCTGGTCATTATGTTGGTTCCAAATAAACCTGTAAAGTGGTAAATAAATGACAGTGAATATATGAAAATCATATATATGAGATACTGTCATTTACTGAGATCAACGACGTGCAATGATTTTCAGATTTTTAATCTTTTTACCAAAGTGATTACTACATATTCCTACTTACCGATTGCTATACCGAAACAGGACGTAAGCTTTTTCGTTTGTTCTCTTCTTAAACTGGATGCAAGTTTTTGTCCTCCATTCCGCCATTGCTGCTTTGATGGCAGTCATAGCTCGGGATTTTCGACCTAAAAGTAACTTTTTGTTGGTGATTAAAACATTTTTACGGACGTTGGCTGACGAACTGCATTTTCCTTAAGGAAAGTCAAGTTTCAGTCTATTTAGAGTAAGGCTAGCGACGCTAACTTTTCCTAGAAAGGAAACTTCGCTCTCTAATTAGAGATAACTTGATCAATAAATTGATAGATTGATGCATCCAATGGTTGACTGGTTCATTAATTGATTTATTTATCTAAGCCAAGAGCACATTAGGGAGTAATGACACTTTCACTTAAGATTTAGCGTACAATCCGTTTTAGAAGGACTTTAAAAAACAAATATTTTATTTAAATTAGCTGTTCAGCAGAAAGTGGGGTCCCGAACGCTCAGAGACGAAAAAGTTCGTCATGTCGTAAGACATCATGGTTCTCTGACTTTCCTTTCACCTCCTAGTTTAATCATAATGGTGGTCTGAGGATTAGTGAACATTTTCGAGCGATCAGACAAACTCTCTAAAGAACTTACCGAGGTTTACATCGATTTTATATTTCACGACTCCCCTTGGCCACAATCTGGATCTCGAGGTGGCTCTTTTATGCCGAGAATCATCAATGTCTAATTCTTCTTCCGCTCTTTCTTGTTGGTCTTTTGAGAGAATCATGTCTCCTTCAAACAGACTGGAGTTTCTCATGTTAAAGTTCTCTGAAAGAAGAAATTGACGATAATTTAAAATGTCATGGGGCATAAATCTCCTTATGCATGATTCTCGAACACTACATGTCAACTTCAGAGAATCATTTCCAAACAGATGACAAGATCGCTTCAGTTTCCATTGCTGTGTTAGGTTCAGAGTTTCCAACGCATACAGCTAATAAGCGAATACATATCACACTTAAAATCATCCCCTAGTGGCAATGTAACTCAGAGTAGATCAGCTTGTGGTAATTGGCTGTCTCTAAAACAGAAAAGGCACATTTTCTCACACTAACTTACACAAGCTGCTTCACATTTTAAATGATGCGCCTACTCTTACCATCGGGACTGTGTGATACACTAAGCACAGATCTAAATAGCAGAATAACGCAAATCCACCTCATATTTAACTGTCAATTTAAAAGTTTTATGTTAACACTCAGGAGAGTGTTGAAACAACTACGTGCTATAAATTCCCTCAGCTATATACAGTCTTTTGGAACGTCCAACATCAGGGGTCCAGATTTAAACAGCGGTTAGAACCACTTAGGATTCTTAACTATTTTCGTAATACTCGTGTGCGCTTAAAAGCTACAATATATATGTGTGTTTCGCAAAAGATAAGCCGCTTAACGATCGTGCTTCTTCAATGTAAACAAACAAATTTGGTCTGCACTTCAGCGTTATTACGTTCGTTTAGCCCGTGTTTTAGCTTCTTTCAAAGCCATTGCCTGAAGTGAGAAACTACTCACGGCACAACAGCGAATTTACAAATAAACAGATGGATATAGCATCAAAATCGTCCACTTCTCCTAAGCGCTCTACAAGACTGTTTTTTTTAAGTTTTATGTCAATAACTTCAAACATATTTGATAAGAGAAAATTCGATATGTAGTACACTAAGATAATTATCATACCACAGCTTAAGCTACAAGTGTTATACTTTTAAATATCCAAACAAAACTATCTCAATGAGTCTCAACTTGAAACGGAACTTTAAATGAGTCATCAAGTTCCTTTCAACCATTGGCAGGAAAATTGTAATTTGTATGAAAGACTACCTATGTATAAGTTATAGGCGTTTCTTCTACTGTTTTATTCATAGTAAAGGTTGTCGAGCGTTTAAATTAAAATGACGATAGGAATTAATTCAACTCATAACGTATAATGACATATAAACAAGCTAATATCTTGGGTATATTGGAATATGATAAGCATTAATTTTCAGCAACGTATTGCGTTCCTTTCCGATGACCCCTTGAATTGAAATGAACTTCCTGTGGGAAAAAAATGCTTCGTTGACGTAGTTTAGAAGTATTAATATCGAAAAATATCGATAAAATTTCCAATTAAAACGGAAAGTAATGATGTTCGATGATTCACTCGCAGTCTTTTCAGGTATTTCGCACTGAATATTCGCTGCCGACTTAAATATGACGTTATTTCTGGCGTCGAGTTAACAAGTTATTTTGGGTTTGCAGATGTCGTCTTAATATGTCCAATCTATATGTTATATC